ATATAATAATTAAAATTGAAAATATTAAGGAGGCCCCCAATTCAGTCTTTTTGGGCCAAAATTCTTAATATTCAAAGAACATCTTAAGTTGACCCAAGAAAAGTTCGTCGTTGATCTTTCACTTGACTATGGTTTAAACGAGTGAAAACTAGTAAAATACCCTATGCACAACGTTAAATTGGAAAAGCAGGAGTTGATTCCTGAACATTATTCTTACAGGGAGTTAGTAGGGTCATTACAATATCTAGAAACATGCACCAGACTGAACATACAGTTGGCGGTAGATAAGTTATCGCAACATCTCAGTTCGTATGAAAATCAATATTGGGAGGCAGAAAAATGCGTTATGAGGTACTTTAAGGGCACAAGATACAATCTATTAATGTACCCAAGGTGAGGGCCCTTTATATTTATATCTACTCAGATATAAATTATGGCTTCGGAAAGATCGCTACTTCCGTTTCGCTACATTTACAGTTTCAAGTGAATTTCCTTTGTTTGAGAAACAAAGAAAGAGGAAAAATAGTTGCATCTTCCTCCACAGAGGGAAAGTATACTGCCGTAGACAAAAACTATTAAATGAGTTAAGTAAGTTACAGCGCTACTGGGGCTATATACGTTGGTAACCAGCCCAGTATACATATTGCCAACAATTGTAGTGGAACTATTAAGACATATTGATGTAATATTTCACTACGTTAAAAGGACAAAATTAAAAAAGAAAAACTTATTAAGTTTTCCTTACTAAGGAAATGCATGCTGACTTCTTAACGAAGAGCACCGTTAATCCTCAATATACCAAACTGCAAAACAGACTCATGTACGGTAACGGTCCATATATGAGGCTGGGAGGCAGATACTACGTTCACTTATATGAACATTTTTTTAATTTATATCAATTGAATATAATATAATAGCATCCATATAATCTAATTAAAAATACTCACTTTTAATAACAGCTTCATCTAGTCTGTTTATTGTTTTATTATTCTATACTTATTCTTTCCTTTTTTTCTAGTGCGGTTGCAGAATAGTTTAGCAAATTGGTTACCTCTCTTTTATATCAGTCTTATTGTTATAAGCGCTATAGTCAGCTCGTACTACGCGAGCGGGGTCTTAACTAACACAGATTTTTTTGTATATTTTTCATTTGCAATGTTTATACTAAAATAATAAGTGGGGTTGTTTTTTTATATCTTGGCAAGTTAACTTCTATATCTTTAAATGACTTAAAATTTGAGCTTACAAAACTGATGAATAGTAATTTTTTAACCTTGTTAGGTTTGGTTTAATCCTTAAAATCTTCCCACAGAGCAGCAAATAAATAAAGAAGCTAGGGGAACCCTTTATAATTGTAGGCAATGTGGACGGTGTTGAAGTTCTTGCCTAACATGGAAAGACAACAAAATTGTAAATATTCACAATTTTCGGGACAGCAACCACTAACCACCGTTCGTTGATTGGGGAGAAAATGAATAGTATTAACAAGTTACTATCCAGATATTTGTTATATACAACAAGCATAGGTGGAGTAGATGTATTTGATAGTCATAATGGACGTCACAAATCAGGCTAAAATCAAAAAGTGGCACTTTAGAATATTTTTTTACAAGTGAATGTATGGATTCTGTGCAAAAGGGTCTATTTGGTAAAAAAAATACGGCCACTAAACCAAGAAAACTTTAGAATTCAGGCAACCCCTGTGCAAAGTTGTAATAATTCATCTAAAGAGGACGACCACTTTTACGATTCTGGAGATTGTAAGGTTCCCTGACGATACTTATCGCCCAAAGATGAACTTACAAGTTTAAATATATATTAAGGAGAAAAAAACAAAATGCAAAGTAATCAACTTTATACCAAAAGACTACAGAGCTAAGACCTTAGAGCAAGAGCGGAGCTACTGCACAATTATATCATAGTTGTGCAGAGGCGGAAATAGATTTTAGATATCGGATGTAGAAGCAAAAGTAACAAAATTCGTGATGGGCGCTTTACATAAAGAAGGTAAGAGTATCATCCCCACTTCTCCAAAGTTAGAAGCCTTTAATATCTGTTTAAGCGCTAAAAACGCATATCATAAAAATTTCTTGCATAACATCATATTAAATGAATATGAGGATAGGGATTCATGCTAGATTCATAGCAACCACCAAGCGGTGAAATAAAAAACTCCTTAGATATAAGAAAACGATTAACTCCACCAGCTATAGTACCCCCTCCTATTAAGTAAGAAAAAATTCGCGTAAATCCTACATATAAAAACTTGACTTATGTACACCGCTTATAATGAACATTACACCTATATACCTCATTAAATAATCTAGTTATCCGCGAGTTTTGAAAGAAGTGAAAACATCATTGTACCATCGCAAAGTGCATATTGTATTATCTATTAAACAAAATTTATGAACTTTTTTAAGTAAAAACGCAAAGTACATATTTTTTTTTACTATTTTACCTTTTATTTTTACAACTATTGAAAAACGAAAATAAAAATTATAGAAATAAAAATCATTCATGTAAAGGTTATAACCGGTTGCCCAAAGTTTTAGGAGTAAGCCCCTATTTTATATTGTTTAAAGGGAACCCTGACTACGGTAGGCAAGCCAGAAAGATAAAATATAGAAAAACAGGGAATCAGCAAATAGAAAAACGTTAAAAGAAGGAAGAAATGCAAAAAAGTTAATACTCTGAAAAATGAGTGGACAAGAGGATTGAATGAAGAAGGTCTATGACAAAAAAGTAAGGGTTAAATCGGACTTAAAAGTTGGTGACAGCGTTTACGTAATTACAAAAAGGGGCAAAAGTCTAATTTGAAAATTTTAAATGGTCCAGCAAAGGTTCTAAAGACTCTGAAGTTTGGTAAATATTTAGTTCGCCTAGATGGAACTAATAAATTTATCATCGCAATCAATTAAAACTTGTGAAACTTACGACAACAGAATATAATTATCGGATTTTAGGCAGACTGGCTAGTAAAATATAAGTAGCAGAATTACTTAACTCACCTAAATTAACTATTTTTTACGGGTAAGAAAAAAAATATTAGCCTATTTTTAAAGCGAAAAGTGCTTGGAATAAGTGGCTGCAGTGATGAATAGCTTTGTCGACTTTAGTAGGGGGAAAATGTTTAAACCCATATATTCCACCCATTATGGAACTTTTTAAGGAATAAAAAACCAGGCTACGGGACCACGAGGGTCTGTAGTTAATTCACTATTTATGTGAAATAGTAAATGAGCGGGGTGTAGTTGGAAAATGCACATAACTTAGTGAGGGCTAAGTTGTAAAATTATATATACATGAGCTAGCCTATGGCGCTGCTTGATAGAAATTTTTTTTTGGGGGTGTGGGGTGGCCTGCTTTTTGCGTTGAGAGTGTGCTGAAATTTAAGTTTATTAATAGTTTCCGTACTAAATAATTTGGTCACTATAATAGATAATAACAGTGCACGAAATATAACACATAAAAATTATAATGAAAGATTTTTGACCGGATACTCAAGTATTTATCTTAAACTTTATATGGTCTTCTTACCTTTAGAGTTTCGTAAGTTTTATTAATTATTTAATGATATTAAGGTAATTTGATTTACTTGATAATTATCAAGTTTTACCTAACTTTTCAAATTTGAAGCAACTAGATGGCGTTAGAAGTGAGATAGAGTTTTTTATCCTCAGTTAACGAAACTATTATTACTTTTATTAATAAGTATATTAACCTTAAAGGTTTTAATATTGTATGTAATTTTTCTGTAGAAATTTTTAGGGGAAAAGGGAATTTATTATTATAAAAATAATAGCATTCTTTATCCTATTATCGTTTTAGTAGTAGTTTTTACTGCTTAAAAACTTTGTTTATTAATAATAACGATCAGTTGTTACAAAATAATTTGCTACAGTAAAATAAAAAAACTTTTATACCCTTTTACTACTTGATATTAGGAAAGTCACCAAAATTCATGGCAATGTTTGGCATAGAACCCAACAGCAGTAGCCATCTTCCTTCGCAAATGAAAGTATAATAATTAAGATTATCAGTGAAGTATAAATAAAGATAACAACCCACCGGAATTGTATATACTTGATTTTTTTCTGCATGTGTTTTGGGTAGGACATATATTGGTATGAAGGGACAGCCTATTGAATATATATACCTTGTATATTGTTTGATAACTTTATATAGATTTAATCCTACCTGGAGTATAATACTTTTACGCTTTTTGCAACAACTACTTGTGTTAGTGCCATTAAAGGAGGAGAGGAGTACTAGTAAGAATGTTAACCACCTTTAAATATTAAACTTAAACAAGGTCCGCAACTCATTGCTGAGGAACATGTCTAAACAATTCAGTGTTCTTACTGAAACTTCCAAGCAAGCCGCCACCAATATGAATTTTACAGTGAGGTCTAGCACCTACTGATGCATTCTTACAAGGTTTATGTACTTTGCGCGAGGTGGAAAAATAGTCGAGCAATATGTGTACTAATTAAGGCTTCATTTTCAATCTAAAATCACAAGACTTTAAAAACTCTTTTGTATGCCTCATGCCACGTACTCGTCTTTAAAAAGTATTTCTACTCGCAAAAGCGCTTTAAACAAGGGCTAGAGTTATACGAAAGGGTAGCATCACACAAATGTTTTTATTAAAATAGAGCCTTTAAACGCAAATGTATAACATCATGAATAATTCAGTATAGACAACAAAAATGAGTAATAACTATGAAAAAAATCTAATTTCTTTTTGTTTATAACCCTGAAAAATACGTAAGCCAGAAAGAAACTACTGAGAACAAACATTTTTGGAGCTATATACAAAGCGAGAAAGCATGCTAAAGTAGACCCGTACTATCACATTTTGTCTTCTATCGAAAGTCGAACTAGTGAAACATTAAGGCAAATACCGTTAATATTCTATATTAAATAAAACATATTTGTTTACCAAATTGTATAAAATTTAAATTTAAAATATAAATTTAAAATTCAGACTTTGCTCATGTGAGCGAAGCAATGAGAACACAACATACCCTCTAAGTATACTGCCGGGCTTATTAACACAAATCTTAGCTCAATGTTGATGGGGTTGAGAAGTAAATTTGTTCAGTTGAATAATTCTTTAATATACCGTAATAATTTTTTGATATACACACACGTTCACTGCTCTTTGGGCACTCAAATTAGCAGAAATTACTATATTGCTAAAAAACCTAAAAAGAGAAGGAAATTGTTGTATGAGCAGCACGTTTTAATTCAAGCGAGAAAAGGTTTATAGCTGGTTATTTTACTTAGCAAGGTTAATTACTGCAAAAGAAATAATAGTTTTTTTTTTATCTTCACCTTAATCTCCATTTAACATTAAATTTTTCAAGCCGAATTTTATCAAAAATTGAAAGACGAGGAAATTTGTAAAAATAATAAACCGTTAGAATTTGACGCGGTATTCTTTAATCTTCCTTATATTAGTTTATTAGAATTTTTGTTTTTGTTTGTACAAAAATAAAGAAGAATTCATAACTGATATTTTAATGGAGTTGCTTAAAAAATTTTTTGTTATTTTTTTAAATACTTTAATACTGATTAACTAGCTTTATCGGCGCTTTGTAAAACTTGTCCATCCAGACATCTGGCAAAGAGAAGGGTTCTATATAATTTTTTACATAAAAAATTACACCTATTTTTGTTTACCAGATCACTAACTATGTAAGCTTTTGCTTAAGAACTTTTTAATTCTATTTTTTTTTATTATGAAAAATCTAGAAAACACTTCCTAGAAACAAACTCAAAATCTTTACAAAAGATGTCCGAGTTGATTTGTAAACTAAAAACAAAGAATATATTTCCAACTTTTTTTTGTAATATTTAGCTTCTCTAAACATATTTTTTTACCAGTACTCCAATTCTTTTTGATTTATTATAAGTAGGCAAACCGCATTATCCGGAGGCTGAAAATATTTTCCTGCCCTTTTACATACATACGACTGCTAAAGAAGAATTTGGTTTAAAATAAATTCATTAATAAGATCTTTATTAAGGCTTCTTCCTTGTATAAAGGGTCTTTCCCTAGAACAAGAAAACTTGTACACTTTAAAACGTTTCTGAACGGCAACGATTGCCGTAAAGACGTTGCTAACTCGTTTGAAGAATTATTTTCTAGCTGTCGTATGCAATATATGTTAGTTGGTTATTCTTTCTTTTATTAATAATATCCAGAAATCGAACCAACCAAATTTCTGTGGGGAACTAAGTTTTGGGGAACTGAAGTTTGAATTCACTAATGAAGCATTTGATTAATTTTTAAATCCTCATTTAAATGTTATCATCCTAATGAAAAATTATTATAAGTAAAACTTAGTTTATTATTGCCTTTTTTTTAAAAGAAGCGAAGTGAATATAAAAATTTACAGAGACTTTTTATAGTTAAGTGCTCTAGTAAACATGTTAAAAGCTTTTTAATAATAATGTCCCCGTGGGTTATATGAGTTGAGGATGAAGGTCAATCAAAGCAACTTAAATTAAGCCTCGAAGACAAAAATGGCTGTCCATCTAAGACTTCTAGGGCTTGCCTTCTGCTTAGGAACTGAATTTACGAAAACTAGCAGAAATTTTGTTTTTTTTAGTATTTTTGGAAGGGGTCCCTCTTATGCTCTTTTAGCTAACAACGCTTTTTAGACGACTTAAAGAAATAACTCCTTACTAGAGTTCAGTATTATTGCTGGGTTCTCATTGTATAGGGTAAAGCTATTGAATAGTTCTTAATTTAAAACCTATAACTTTATAAATTACGATCTAGAAGAAGCTCTACTGTTATCGGTAGTTGATAACGTTTATTAAGAAAGGTCGTAGGATCTGAACAACCTAATTTTTTTTTTTGTCGTGCTGGTGAAAGAGTTTTCGTTAAAGCTTAATATTTCATTCTACTTAATAAAACCCAATAATACGGGAAAAGTTTACAGATACACTAATTATAAAGCTACCAGTTCCGAAGTTGAAGCTTGTAAATATATATTACCACTGCACGAAATGCACCCCGTAACCGCAAAAAAAAGGCTTGGAAGACACCGCCATTAAACCGTTAAATAAAGTAAAATATCCTATTACATGAGAAAAAAGTAGATGATCCGAGCAACATATACCAATCATTAAATTTCCAAAAAACTAGTACTAATTATAACTTGCAACCGCCGTTATAAGAATATTATCACCACACGTTGGCAAAAATACTATTTAAAAAGACAAACCTTAAAAAATTTTCTATTACGTTCTTAAAACGAATGGGTCATTAGTTAAAAAATATATATGCAATAGTATACTCAGCTTATGAAAAATTTAAAAATAATGCTAATAAAATGGCCAAAAAACCAAATTAATCTGAACTACCAACCTTAACATCGCAATTAAATCCGTACTTATTTAAGACCTTGCTATAAGAGAGATCTGGCTTCAGTTAGTGAGAGTTATTAAATATATAGTAAATAAATGAAATCAAGAAAAAAGCATCTTGTTTTACTTATACTATTCTTATGTCTTGCTTTTTTAGTTATTTTCCAATTTATTCTTTTGTACCCTTCAATAGTTATTTTTTCTTTACATAAAGGATTTCTTGGCTTTATGAGTAAAGCTATTTATACCTTCTATAATCTAACTAAAAAACGCATTTCTATGTTTATTTAAATATGTTAGTTCTTTCAAAGAACTTTTAGATAGAAAACTTTTATAAAATATTCTATAAAAAAACTTTAACTATTATGTAGTTACAACGCAGAAGACAACTACACACCCGTTATAGCTTAGGTGCGAGCCTTTTGTTTGTCTTATTATAAAAGACAGTTCCTGGTGTTGGAACGAGTCAAGAATACTTCGAATACTCGAGCACTAACCAAGAACGGTAGCAAACATTACAAAATAGGTTTCAATAGATAAAAAGGTGCCATTATTTTCTAGCACTAACCTAGAAAAACTAGCGCTTACGCGTGTCACGTGGATGGAGATAACGTACCCGTCCCATGGCTCGAAAATGAGTTCTCTCACCAGCAGGCGGTCAGTGTGCCTGATTAGCCTGTCATAAAGTGCCCTTGGCATACGCTGCAAACTCTAAAGAGCCCAGCTGAAGATACTGCTGGAGAGCTTCTTTTCGTACAAACAACCAAGGCGCCTTTGTCATCACGCGCAGCAATTAGTTTTGTCGCACTGAGTACCGACGTTATTGCAGTGAAGCTGTAGGTTGAAGTAGCAGACACGTATATCATCATTAGCTGGTTGTAAGACATACAATTGCTGTTTGTAGGGCAGAGAGAGCTCGCTCTTACCGCATGGCAAAGGATAAAGCGCCTTAGTTCTGCCTTGAACTTCGTCGCTACATAGTAACCGTGCGACCTCTAGAAAAATTTGTTTTCAGTAATGACTCGGAAGTATATCGCTTGAAAATACTACGGAAGCTTCACGCCATCAAAGGTTAAGGGCGTCAATGAGGGGTCACTTTTAAAATTATGTGCTTTGCTCATCAACACATTTATAACAACTTTTTAATTGCGGCGCCAGTCAACAAGGGCATTAGTATAGCGCTGTATATGTTGGCATAGCAAGAGACTTCGACTAAGAGTAAACGGTCTTCTCCCAGGCATAGAGAGCCATTCGCATATGAATTTAACGGCAAGGGCACGTTGCTCATATATATTAGAAATGAAAGGGAGAGTGGAGTGATCTTTGGGAGTTTCTGCTGTCGGAAATCGCAGCGACGCCTGTATATCACCCAAGCGCACGCTCACGCCCATTTAGGTATAACTTCAGCACGTTGTAAAAGCCACGAAGATCGGTTGACGAACGCAGTTTGTGCAGCAGACCTTCGTGCCAAACTTAATCGCATGCCTTTTCAACGTTAAGGAAGATAGCGCCCTTTGCCTTCTTTAAGTTAAAAGCGCGAGTTGCTGGGTCATTGAGCGCCCTTGCCGAAATCCAAACTGGCACCTTGGTCAGGAGACCCGAGCGTCAGCGGCTTCACCCACTATGCCGACCGCTGACAGGAGGCTGATGGGCCGGTAATTGCTAGCTGCTGAACATGGTTTTAAGTGTCTTCGGCGCATCACAACTTTCGCCGTCTTCCATCGGATCGGAAATGAGCCAAAAACCATCGCTGAAATTATTAAGAGGCACAGATAATGCCCCCCTATTAACGATATTTTAATCAGCTTCCCCCTCATGAGGGAAGCCATCGGGTCCAGGCGCTTTTCGTTTAGTTAGCGCTTCGACGAGCTCAATTGGTTCATGGGTATCAGAAAGGGGTAAACTCAGCTGAGAGATCGCATTTACATGAGTAGTTGGCTTGTCTTGAGTAGAATGTAATTAGCTAAAAAGCGTAGCTTTTCCTCCAACATTCTCGGCCACTATATTTCCTTCACAAAGGGGCGGTAGAGATGAAACCTCTTGATTCTGATGCATTAATAAATTATTAATAGGTGGGCTGACTGCTGCTGCCTGACTCTGATATAGGGTTCAGATTGGCCTCCAATTTAATTTTTAAAGGACCGTTAGTTTCTTTCCTATTCACCTGTGAAGTTGGTTAAGCGCAAGTTTGTCTTTGGCGCTCTGCGCCAACATGACCACTCGGTTAAGGTATAGGCATCGCGGTTGGCAGGTAAGAGCCTTCAGTTCGTTAAACAGGCGTCGGAACGATAGATTACTTCACGGGTTGCCTTGACAATAGAGCGAAAGTTGACGGTAGGAGCGGCAGGGCGGAAGCGTGGTTTTCAGTAACTCAGCATATTAGTCCTAGTTAGTAAATAAACGGGTAATATTCCTCTTCTCCTCGGCCAGTTCGAGAATAAAGGGAGGAAGGTGCCCGAAGGATAGTTCCTTGGGGGCATCAATTGCCGTTGAGAGACGTATATTTTTTAGTATGGCTATCCACTACGTCCGTTGGGCCTGTAATCGCCAAGTGTGTTGAAAACTGGGGGCCTAAGATGTACAACCGGTGTTCATCAAAATAGGCCTTTAAGGATATGGCTATTCAGATTATCAACCAGGCTGTACCATGAAGGGTGCTTGCAGTTGAGATCTCCGCACAAAACAGCAGAAGGCTCACTCGCAAGGATGGCGTCTAAATCGGAGGACGGTAGTAGATTCCAAAGGAATTTGTAGACAGCGATCACACACGCGGTTCTCTGCGGCCATACATAGAAAAATTCCCACTGCTCTGGCACCTTGTCGAGCTGGCAGAGAAATCGAATGATGTCGAGTGCTCCGTTTTACGAAAATAACCACGCCCCCGCCACTTGCATTAATCAGTCCTTGGCGGTACGCTACAAAGTTGCACAGGTTACATGCAATGTTAGGTAGGAGAAACCTCTCGTTGACGGAGCACACATCAATTCTTTCAAGTTGCAAGAACCCCTGAAGCTCATGCTTCTTACTCTAAATACCATTTGCATTACAGATTAAAAGTTACATGGAGCGGCTGAAGCGGGGCATCTTTGATTTAGAAAACGTTTGCAAACAGATTCCAGTCCTTTCCACAGTTTCGGGCATGCTAGGTAAATTCGTCTTAGAAATAATAACAGATGCCGTAATGTCGGCTGCTTATTGCTATTACTGAACAGCTTTCGTGATAGGAGCGTCCCTAAGGGCTTTAAAAACTAACGGAATAGTGGACGAGTCTTGATGAGGTTTTGTCCTCAAACAGAACGCGTAAAAGACCCCCGGAGTAATGGTGTTGTTTGTTGCGAGCACCGACGGAGTAGACTTTGCAGCTTGGCTGACTGCCTTCCGCGGAGAGTACTGACAGTCTTGATAATTAGCGGTGCGCTCTTCATTGCAGTTTGCCCAAGTAGCAGGACTATCGCATGCTTTTGAGCATAAGACTTTCAGTTGGCTCTCGTCACATTTTAACGCTCGAAGGGCCGCCGTGCAAAGGCTTGCAGTGTGCCAAAAGTTCTAACGACGATGGCTCTGATCAAACGCAATTACTCTTCAGAAGTTCCTCCACTCTAATAAAGGTAAGAAATAGTCTTTAGTTAAAGCACCTTCTGTCTCTCGCTTCTGAGTATATGTATAAAAATTATTGGTAACAAACGCTCCTTACGTTCGACATTTTACGGTGTCCTGAGGTTGCATTCGTGCCACTCGAGGGTGGGGGTGCCGCCCTGAGAGCGCAGCTCTTCCTCAACAAGTTAAAGGTCGAGTTTACAGTAAAAAAAAAAAAATGACTCGAATAATTTAAAAGGTTTTTCCTCAGGTTCTTGATACGTAAAACTTCTGTGTTCACTTGATCGCTAAAGCTGTAACCAT